TACATCAAGAACAATTTAATTGATTATTTTGACATTTAATTGATTATTTCTAAAGTCAATTATGAACTAATCGATTATTTTACAAGAAAATTGATTATTCCAACAATTGTTTCCAAGAAAAACTTAAAAATTTGAAATTTTCATTTGAAATTGATTTTAAACCTTATTTATGATCATCGTCAACTAACAAGAAGATTATAAGACAATCTATTAATTTAACACTAAACACAAAGCAAAATATATACAAAGTGAAACAACCAATACAAAGTGCACTCTTTGAAAAGAGGCTTATTCTAAGAAACATTATACACATTTGTAAACTTGAGCTTTCAACTTGATCTTGATCAAAGTTCACTTTTTGATAATGACAAATCCCTTGCATAAATGAAAAACTTCATGAATTTCATCATTTTTAACATGCACACTAGTCATTTTTTTCTTTCACACATGCTTTCAAAACATGCAAAATATAAGGCAATACATTTTCCCCCCTTTGAACATCGTAAAAATATCCAAACAATATAGTCATCCAAAAACAAAACACAAAACACAGAAACATGACTGTTCAACAACATAACAAAATAACAAGCCAAGAACACTAAAAATCGAATAATCATAAAGAACATGAAATCTTAGTCACTAAATCATCAATCAAAGTCATCCTCAATTCCCAAGTGACATTTGATCTTGTCCACTTCATGTTGTATATCATCAAAGTAGTCGAGTATCTCTAAAAAAATTGGTTTCATGCATCGTATATGCCTCCATAACTGCATCCATCTTGACAATCATAATCTGCTTAAATGGAGACACTAACTTCTACTTTGGCTCATTTCCTACTTTGTCACCAACAACTTCATCCTCATCAGCCATAAGATTAAGAGTTTGAGGTTTGAAAAATCTGTTTATTTTCTTGAGTCTTCATTCCCATCTGGTACAAAGATGTCTTTCTATTATTGTTAAAGGGATAGAGAATGATTTTTTTTTTCATCAGAGAAATCAACTATAGTAATTTCAAACTTGTTAGACAATAATAAGGTATAAGGATATGAACCATCTTCCTTCCTCCTAGCCTTCTAGGAACAATCATTTTCAACAAATACCCCATATATTTCCATTCTATTTTTGATAACATATATGATAATCAAATCATCTTTGGATATTTGAGCATGATTGTGTGGTCTAGGTTTGAGCATCCAAGCAATAATAAAATAGATTAAGATATTATTATTTTTCCATTCCTTCATTCAAAAACTTACTATAGTTTCTTGTCTCAAGGTTTCTTTGACAACTCCTAAAGGTGGTCAAGTCACTAGACCCATCAAAATCATTAAAGTTGAGTTTAGTTGACCCATCACCCCTAAGACAACCAAATTGGGTCCATCAAGGTTAACAAGAATCCATTTCACTAGAATAGTTGAAATCCATCTATTACTCCAAGATAAATAGTTAAAGAGTCTTACCAAATCAAGGTAATATGTCCACTTGAGTTCTAAGAACGTCTTGAGACCTTATGCTTCCATAAATGGTGGGAAAGTGAATGCTTACTTTGTGAACAAGTCAGGATTCAAGGTCTTTGGTGGAATCATTACTAGAAAGTTACTATTTAACATCGTCAATTCTACATCGGTTTTGGTAGAACCGATGTAAAAATTGGATGCGGTGGCATATTCGTAAATATGAGTTGAATGTAAAGCAAATTTACATCGGTTATGTACAAAACCGATGTAATTATTGAGCATTTTACATCGTTTTTAACTGGATCGATGTAGATTTACATGTGCAGTGGCAATTTTGTAAATATTTACAAGTAAATCTACATCGGTTTTCAAAATAACCGATGTAGTATTACCTCACGTGGAAGCCCTTTAGCTTCTTCACACATTTTGTCTCTGTGCTAGGGTTTCGCGCTGCATCTTCACTTCATTCTCTGACCTCTCCAACCCCGCCAGGCCCCTCTCCGCCCTCCACCTCGCCCACGGCTCCATCCTCTTCCTCGCCTACTATGAGACCCCTTCTCGTTTATTTCTTCCCTTCCCTCACAACCAACCCTTATTTTCACTCTCTTTGCCTCATTCATCCCTTTTCTTTGCTCTTAAACTCTTTGTGGTGCTCTTTTTGGATCGAAGGTGCTGAGTAAGTGTTTCGAAACTAGCTGGAGCGTGGATTGCTGAGCTGTTTCTCTTTTTCTCCGTTCGTTCAAGCTTTTTCTCCGTTTCTTCTTCCCGGAGCTCGGATTTTCGCACCGGGGTAAGGGAAGCTAGGATTTTTATGCTGGTTGTTGTTGAGTGAGTTAGAAACTCACAGATGTGTCTGATTCTTGAGAAATTGATGGCTGTGTTTGTAAAGTTTCCATTTTCGGGGTTTCGGGGTTATGATGAAAATTTGGGGATTTTGATGCGTTTGTGGTTGCATGCCGAAAATGATTTGGGTTTTGTGTTGTTGGATGAAAATGTGGTTCTTTGGAGGGTTTGCATGTGTTTGGGCTGTTGGATTTTGCAGGTTGTTGTTCAAAAATGGAGGAGGGACTGTGTTTCTGTCACAAACGGCTGAGCCGTTTTGAAGGGCTGAGCCCTTTAGGGGCTGCGTGACAGGGGAGAGTTTCTGGAACCAAACGACTGAGGCATTTTAAAGCGCTGAGCGCTTTTGAAACGGCTGAGCCAGTTTGAAGGGCTGAGCCCTTTAGGGGCAGAGAGCTAGAAGAGAATCCCTGGAGGTAAAGCGCTGAGCGCTTGGGAGGCGCTGAGCGCTTTTGTTCTTTCAGAATTTGAATTTGTAGTCTTCATAAAAGTTGTAGCCTTGGATCTTAGCTTTCCAATGGCGTTGGAAGCACCAAAAAGGAGTTCTAGAACTCCAGATATGGCTATTTTAGTGGAGAGGGGTCAAGTTGCCAGCATTGCTTATAGCTGTTGCGGTTTTTATCATTTTGACAAGGTAGATGAAGGAATTAAGACTTAGTGTCTTCATGAGTGTTGTAGGAAATCTTCTTATCTTTCATATGAGATAAGGATGAGCATGGAAGGAGTAGTATAACTCCTGATGCGCTATTTTCTGTGAAGGTTGTCATTTCACAGTTAGTGATTTGGTTAAGTTGAAAGTTGTCGTAGGTGCTTAGGTTGATTGGTGTTGTTTGGGTGGGTAATTTGGCAAGATTGATGAGTTGTAAACAAGGTGGATGAGCCGTATTATGTGTAGAATATGATATATGTTGTATATGCTGTTAATGATGAAATGCTACGCTGTAATAGATATATATATTGCTGTGCTGAGCTGGGTTGTCATGAATGATTTTCATGTTGAATTAAAATATTGTTGTACTATAGATTGTTGATCTGAGTTGTGAGTAGTAAGCTGTGTTGTATACTACCTAGCTGTGCTGGATGCTGATATTGATGTGCTGCGCTGAGCGCGGCCCTTGTCGCGCTGGGCATGAGACTCCTTGGGAGTCTCTGCCTTGTGGGCGCCGGGCGCAATTGGTATTGCGCCAGGCGCGAGTGAGCCTTGGGCTCTCTGGCTGGGTCCCACCGGGCGCGGGCATGCTTGCGCTGGGCGCGCTGGCCCCCTGGTGCTCTCTGGTTGAACTGCGCTGGGCGCAACCACGAGTGCGCTGGGCGCGGAGATGTGATTTAACTAATGGATGTTAGAGGTTGTTTGGGTTGAGTTTAAGTAGAAGTTGTTGATTATAATGTGATGACTTGTGGTTAACGCTGCTTGTTGATGTTGAGTTGTATCAGTTGTATATTGTTGTAAGTTGATATGTTGAGTTGTATCAGTTGTATATTGTTGTAAGTTGATATGTTGAGCTGTAAAGTTGCGTTGTGCTGTATGTTGATATTTGATGTTGTAGGCTGCAAGGCTGAGTTGATGTAGGCCGCAAGGCTGAGTTGTTGTAGGCCGCAAGGCTGAGTTGATGTAGGCCGAAAGGCTGAGTTGTTGTAGGAGATCTCCGAGTTGATATGCGTGACGACGCATTGTATGCTTATTGGTGATTATGCCGTAAAATTGACGGGATGTATGTTGATGAGGTGTTGATAGTAGTAGTTGTTTATATTACTTAAATCTTCCTGTATGTTGTTCTTTTTATACTAGCTTACCCTTTTGTTGTTTCCATGTGGTTGGACTGCGATGATCATACTATGTATGGGAGCAGAGCAGGGATAAGTGGTGGCTAGTGGTGAGTCTGCAGCTGGTAGATGGAGTTGACTTTTGCTGATGTTTTGTTTGTCTCATCTACTTGATATAGTGGCTTTGGATGTATTTTTTTGTATTGTGCACCCTAACTCTAGTCGGGTTGGGACATTTGTATATATTTATATTCTAGATCCTATATTTATATACTCGTTCTGTTCTGTCTAGTGTTTCCGGTGCGCTGTGGTTGCGAGTGTAGTGGCCAGCCGGGTCGTTACACCTACGACGGCGAGCGCCGCGTCCCCGGCCCCGCCTTCAATCCCCGCCGGCTCCTAACAAATTCCATACTCTAACTCGTATTTTCTGAAAATCCTCATTTAACTTCACCAATTGCTCCCATACAGTATCTGTTCAACATCACTCTCTCCCAATTGCGAGAGGTAGAGCTCTCGTTTGCTTTGGACACAGAGGTTTTAGATTATCGTTACTCTATTGAAGCTAGTTAGGGTTTTAGCGTTTTATGATTTCCCTCTCACTTCTATAAGTCCATCATGAGTCCCGTTCAGGATTTCGAGCAACATTCTCGTCATCTCGTGGAGGCCGACCTCCGTAAGCATTTTCTCTTTCTCTCTTTTGTTGTAACCATAATTATTTGGCGTTTTGTGTGTTTTCTTTACTATTTGATTGGGGATTGAATTGAAAAAAAGTTGCATGATGGCAGGGAAATGGGTTCATCTATGCCTGTGTTGTGTTGGCATTTAAGTGTTTCCAGTTCTCATTGTTTTGACATTTAGCGCTTGTTTTAATGTTCTCCTGCTTGTTAAAATGGATTCAACTATGCCTGTGTTGTTGGAACTTACGCATTTAAATGCTTTCACTTATGACTATGTTTATGGTAGTACGAGATCTCGGTCGTCTGCAATATACGATGATTGGGTAGCTCCACTTGTAGATGGGCTTTTCAATGGCTACAATGCAACCGTTCTTGGAACAAAATGTATGATGGCTTCTTCTTAGGATAAATCCTCTGATGTTCGCAAGGCAGCAGAGGCTTGCATTAATGAAATACTTAGAGTTAGTGGACATGACATGGTATGTGTATGAGAATCTTTGTAAATTTGTGCTTATCTTTTCCTCCCTAATGTTTGTCTCAGAGTCCTTTGAGTCAGCTAGAACAGTTTCAGTGAATGCAACATCAAAATCAAAGGTTGGGAAATCAACTGCCAATGGTGTTTCAAAACATGGAAATAGAGCTGTATGTTCGGTATGTTGATTAATTTTTTAGTTAGTTACTTTTATATTAGTTTGGATTTCTAACTATTTATTTCATCATCTCAAAAGAGAGATGTGGCAATAAAGGGCGTCAAGTCTGAATTAATATCTGTTCATGATATAGCGGTCCAGTCTCAAGCCTTAAATATCAAGGATTCTAATAAGGTATTGTTTTCGGAAGTTGGGTATACCAGACATTGCTTAAAATCTTAAAAATAAGTGTGGTTGGACCATCATCTGGATTTTCTTACATGCAGGAAGATAAAGAGAGAATGGTGGTTCGAAGGTTTAAGTTTGAGGACCCACGTATTGAGCAGATTCAAGATCTTGAGGTGGAACTGTTTATTGGAGAATAATCATGCATAACTCAAGCTTTCTATAATTATTGAATTATAATAAATGTGCCTATAATTTTCAGAATGATATGATGAAGTACTTTTCAATGACTGCCCCACGTGTAGTGCATCAGTCTATTTCTAGATTCAGAATGGCTCGTTCCGGATCCGAACATTATGTGTTAATTTTGCACCCTAGAACGGCCCGTTCTAAAATCAGAACGGTCTGTTTAGGAAACCAGAATGGCCCGTGCTGAAATTAGAACGGCTCGTTCCGGGGTACAAACTAACACTAAATTCCCTTCCCATAATGGCCCGTTCCAAACTAGGTTTGTTAGGTCTTTTAACCTTTTGGAATGGCCTGTTCTGGTTTAGGAACGGCCCGTTCCAGACCAAGTTTTTTAGGCCCTTTGCCCGTTTTGGTCTGGAACGGCCCGTTCCAACCTACAATTTAGGCCTTTTAGGAGTCTCGGAACGGGTCGTTCCAATTCAAGAACGGCCCGTTCCGGACTTGGGAACGTCCCGCTCTGATTTTGGAACGGCCCGTCCCTGGCCACTAAAAACAGTTGATTTGGGCTTTTGGGCCCTCTGATGTCCTATCTTGTTGTTTGTATGCCCCCGGACGAAATTGGGTGTCTACAAGAATCACCTAAAAAGAAGATCTAGAACTCAAGTTATTGTCAAATTAGTAAGCAAAGGTCATTCTATCATATTTAGGTTGAAACGTTGCGGTTTAGTATTTTTTAAAATAGTAAATGGAAAAATTAGGTCTTGATGTCAACATAGAAGTTGTCATATATATAACTCTAAATAAGGTTTTTGGACCACACGATTTCTTAGAAGATTAAGTTATGAAAATATAGTTTGTGAATGATGATGATGAATAGTTTTGCCCTTCAGATCTTATAAATGGTTTAAGGTACCTATATCAATGTTTAGGAAAAATAAATTATGGGAGAAAATAATGGTGAATAAGTTATGATGTAAGTTGAGTATTAACAACTTGAGGTGTTTTTGATGATAATGATGTCTTAGGACTTAATGTGTGATACTGATGAGGTTGTGAGACTAGTTAAGTTATTGATTTAAATGCTTAGTGATGTTTATCTCTTAGTGACTACGGTTAATGTGTCAACATATGATTAACTCATTAACTCATTAGTTTAATACACAACATCATTCGATACACCTTAAGATAAAATCATTATGAAATTGTCTAACGATATGTTAACACATTAACCATCATAAGGGAACATGTTAAAGATTCACATCCATTTTCTAGCACTCATCGAGATAAGAAAGGAGTGAGTAGTCTCGCTTTAGACGTTGGATATATGTTGAGTAGTAAGATTGGTCCCCAATCCTTTCTCTATTGTATCTGTTGTATGGCTTGTGAATGAGGGGTTTTCCAAAATGTGCCTTTATCTTCTCTATTTCTTATTGTATATTCTAATTGATGTGAATTGTATGTATATGATTGTACTTTTTGAGTTTGACCTATAATTGCATGACTTTGGATATCTTGTAGTTCCTATAAGAAAACCTTATTTATAGAGAAATGTGAAGATTGGTGCTAATTGCATGAGTATATGAAATTGAGGTTGGATTTTAGTGATTAATGGTATGATGGAATAGTATTAATCTTTAATCATGATGTTTACGAATTGGTTTGGAGTTTTGGGGTTTTGGATTCGTAATGCATGACTTTCACGCAATCTATAAGTTTCCTACAAACTGGTATCGTGCTAAATGTCAAATGTGAAGTTAGTGGAAAAACACATAGAAGGGGGGTTAAATATGTGTATGTGTGAACAAAGGCATTTTAAAATCTTATCACAAGAAGACTTTCTTTTGTCCTATAAAATGATGTTGGTAAATATTAGACATGAACTACCAAGGATAGGTTTAACAAAACATTTTACGTTTGAGAATTTCATCGTCTGCTCAGAGACAATATTCCTTAAGAGAAAAAAGTTCTTTTAGAGTAATCAGTTAAACAAGTACGATTTCCATCTAAAGGTAGTTTAAATAGACGATAAGCACTGGACGAAGTTTTCAGTATTTTAAGATCAATCAAATAAAGTTCGTCTAAATCTTTTTAAAACATAGAGCAAATTTTTATACTGGTTCACTCAAGTTGAGCTACGTTCAGTCACCTTCAATTGAAGGGTTCCATTAGACAATCAATTAAGTGCAAGTATTATTTATTCAGCCTCTTCAGGCTAGCACACTACAAGAAAATTCGCTATTACAGACGACCAGAATTCGTGGGAAATGCCAAAAATCCGTGGGTAATAGTGCATTTCCGACGGATTACCAACGGACACTAATCCGTCGGTAAATTGCTCGTCTGAAATATTTACCGACGAATTTTTATCCATGGGTAACTTTCCGACGAATTTTCCCACGGATTACCCTGAAGGAATTTTTCGTGAAAATTATAATTTTTTTTTGTACTCACTTTTGGACATTTATGAGAATTAGAAATCAGATTTCTCTCTCATTTTCAAGAGTCAAAACCGTGGGAAACCTTCTCCTAGTTTCTCCCTCAAGGTTCCTTATCCTAGAAGCTTGGTTCATCAAGCTTCTTCACTTCTCTAAGAGGTGACCGAACCTCCTTAGGTGTTTCTCCTCCATTGGAGTTGCTTCGTGGAGCTTCAAAGTGTCTTTGAAGGTGATATCTCAAGAGAATTTTCGGTCCTAAGCATGGAAGCTTGGATGAACATCAATTCTTCACCAAGTGCTTCCATCATGCACGGGTGAGCTTTTCCTTAAGATCATGGAAAGCTTTTTTTTGGGCTTCACCCTAAATGAAAGGAACATTCTTCTTAACAAGCTCATTAAGAAGGGATGCAAGTGTGTAGAAATCTTTGACAAATATTCTATAGAAGCTTGCTAAATCATGGAAGCTCCTCATATCTCCCACACTTTTTGGGGTGGGCCAATCTTGGATGGCTTTTATTTTCTCGGGGTCAACTTGCACTCCCTTTTTGCCAACTATAAAACCCAAAAAGTTCACATTTTCTTTACAAAAGTGCATTTCTCTAAGTTGGCATAGAGGTGGTTGTCCCTAAGAATTATTACTTCTCTTAGATGTCCAAGATGCTCATCTAAGGATTTCTAAAAATTAAAATCTCATCAAAATAGACAACTACAAATTTTTCTATGCAATCCCTAAGTACATGATTCATGAGACGCATGAAGGTGATATGGGCATTGGTGAGACCAAAAGGCATCACTAACCATTCATACAAACCAAACTTGGTTTTAAGAACGGTTTTCCATTCATCACCCTCTTTGATTCTAATTTGGTGATAACCACTCTTAAGATCAATTTTGGAGAATATGATGGCCCCATGTAATTCATCCAACATATCATCTAGCCTAGGGATTGGGTGCCTAGATTTTATGGCGATGTTGTTGATGGCCCTACAATCCGTGCACATCCTCCATTTGCCATCCTTCTTAGGCACCAAAAGAACTGGAACGGCACAAGGGCTAAGGCTCTTTTGAACCCAACCCTTCTCCAACAAGTCCTCAACTTGAGTTTCTATCTCTTTGATCTCTTGAGGGTTATTCCTACAGGCGGGCCTATTTGGTAGACTTGCACCTGGAATGAGGTTTATTTGATGCTTTATTCCCCTCAAAGGTGGAAATCCACTTGGAAACTCTTGGGGAAATAGGTCATCAAATTCTTTCAAAAGTTTTTGGACCTCTTGAGGTAGAGACTCAAGTTCATGACTAGTGGCAGTGAGTGTCTCTTTAAAACAAAGGAGGTATAAATGTTGTTCAAGCAAGAGTGTTTTCTCAATATCATTTTTTTAGAGATAAGTGACTCTTGTGAACAACTTCTTTAGAGGGGACACTTGCCTCTAAACTTGATACTTCCTTTCCTTTTTCTTTAGTCCATGAAGAAGGATCTTTTTTTCCTTTTTTTTTATAAGAAAATCCAGATGATGGTCCAACCACACTTATTTTTAAGATTTTAAGCAATGTCTGGTATACCCAACTTCCGAAAACAATACCTTATTAGAATCCTTGATATTTAAGGCTTGAGACTGGACCGCTATATCTAAATTTTTTATGATTTTACATTCTAATAATGTATTGAAACCCCTCAATCTTTAATTCTACTGATCGTACTATATGTTATTTTTAAATTTGAACTCCTAAACTTTATTTGTTATGTATGACATTTTATTTTGTGTTAATGAACTTGTTTTAATTTACATAATTATGATTGATTTAATATCTTTAAATAGGATAATTATTTAATAAAATTTTGAATTTAAAAAAAAAAACATTTTCACAGAATTTCCCACGGATTTCCCACATATTTATCCGTAGGTAATTTCCCACAGACTAATCCGTGGGTAATTTCCCACGGATTTGTTTGTGGGTAATTTTCCACGGATAAATCCGTGGGAAATTCTGTGAAATTACCCACGGATAAATCCGTGGGAAATCCATGGAAAATAATCCGAAGCTTCCCATCCATTGGAGGCTTTGGAAAAGCTTAAGGAAAATCAAGGAGCCAAAGGTCTAGGGAGGAACTTGAAGAAGAATCAACATCAATCCGATTCCACTACAAAGTTTCTCTTCCATTGGAGGCTTTGGAAAGCTTAAGGAAAATCAAGGAGCCAAAGGTCTAGGGAGGAACTTGAAGAGGAATCAACATCACACTCT